CCACGCCGTGGGAACATCCCCGCCCCCCCCCCAGCTGCCATGTTCTTGGGAGCCACTGAGGCCCCAGCCTTGCACCTGTCAGGCCCTTGGTGCCAAGCCCCACTCCTTTCCCAGGCCAGGGCAGCTGCTGCCGGTGCCAGACACTCCCTAGGGGCTGGAGCCAAACAGAGCCCCAGTATGCTGCCCCAGCTGCCCAGTGAGGCTGAGAGCAAGCCAGGGCCCTGGGCCCACAGGATGAGCCAGGAGCTCTGACCCCCCCAGCACAGTCCAGAGGCTGCAGCTCTCCAGATCCACCTCCCCCAGCAGCCTGAGCCCCCTCTGCACAGCTGGATGCTCCCCCAGTCTCAGTGGGCCGTGCTGCTGGCATACCTGACACCCACCTGCCCAGTGCAGCAGCCCTGCCAAGTCCTGAAGAACCTCACTGCTGCCTTTGGAGATGCCTGCCTGAGCTTGTCCCACCAGGGCTGCAACTTGACTGGCAGCGGAGTAAGGGCATATGCCCGGCAGGGGCAACTCTCACACAGGGCAGCATAGCCCTGCTCAGGGACACTGCCCAAGCAGGCACCGCCGGGGCCCCATTCCCATGGCGCCCGCTCTGCCGGGACCCCGTTCCCGTGGCGCCCGCTCTGCTGTGCCCCGTTCCCTTTCTCCCTGCTCTGCCGGAGCCCCATTCCCATGGCGCCTGCTCTGCTGGGACCCCGTTCCCTTTCTCCCTGCTCTGCCGGAGCCCCATTCCCATGGCGCCTGCTCTGCTGGGACCCCGTTCCCTTTCTCCCTGCTCTGCCGGAGCCCCATTCCCATGGCGCCTGCTCTGCTGGGACCCCGTTCCCTTTCTCCCTGCTCTGCCGGAGCCCCATTCCCATGGCGCCTGCTCTGCTGGGACCCCGTTCCCTTTCTCCCTGCTCTGCCGGAGCCCCATTCCCATGGCGCCTGCTCTGCTGGGACCCCGTTCCCTTTCTCCCTGCTCTGCCGGAGCCCCATTCCCATGGCGCCTGCTCTGCTGGGACCCCGTTCCCTTTCTCCCTGCTCTGCCGGAGCCCCATTCCCATGGCGCCTGCTCTGCTGGGACCCCGTTCCCTTTCTCCCTGCTCTGCCGGAGCCCCATTCCCATGGCGCCTGCTCTGCTGGGACCCCGTTCCCTTTCTCCCTGCTCTGCCGGAGCCCCATTCCCATGGCGCCTGCTCTGCTGGGACCCCGTTCCCTTTCTCCCTGCTCTGCCGGAGCCCCATTCCCATGGCGCCTGCTCTGCCGGGACCCCGTTCCCATGGCGCCCGCTCTGCCCTTTTGTGGGAAGCAGACGCTATCTGCAGTCAGAGGGGGCACCCAGGCACTGTGCCTAGACCCCTTGCTGGGGAAGGGCTCAGCTCTGGGCTGGGAGAGCTGCCCAGGCTGGGGCAACAGTGTAGTGAAAACACAGCTCCTACTGCAAGGCAGAGGCAGTGCTGCCGTGGGAGGCAGCTGGCAGCACTAAGCACCTGAAAGTACAAAATTAACTCCCCACCCACAGGGTCTAAAAATGGCCTTTATTCCTGCCTCTTAGCACGCCGCTCCCGCCTGCAACTGGAGCAGGGCTGGGCCTGGATCTCCCCTACTGGTTCCTGGGAAGGCCCCTCCCAAGGCCTGGGGTGAGGAGTGACAACCAATGTAAAGAGGAGCGTGGGGACCACACTAAGGGATCCAGAGGGGCGCAGAGCAGACTGTATAGGGCGGCAGGGGACATAGCCCAGTGGACACGGGACTTTAGGGAGGGACAAAACCAGGCATGGGCACAGAGCACCTCCCCATTCAGCACCCTCCTCCTGGTTTTAGATCTGCCACTGAAGAGCCGTGTGTGCAAGCCCCAGGCAGTGCAGAGAAGAGTTTGGAGCAGCGGGGAAAGGGCTGCTAGGGAACAGCCAGGAAAGCTTGGCAGCAAGTCGTGCTTGGCATGCAACTGGTGCCGGAGAGGGAAATACCTGGCCCTGGCAAAGGAGCCAAATGAGGGGAGCATTATGTGCTTCCCTGCTCTTGCTGAGTGTGGGTGTGGGGGGGAGCGGAAGAAGGGGAGGGGGCTGGGCCCGCTGAGTAGTTTGCCCTTTAGTCTGCCCCCTCCTTTGCCTGTTGTGTGGGGACAGTGCGGGTAGTGGGGTGGCGACTCAGCAGCAGTGCTGCCAGCGCCCAGAGAAAGCAGGGCAGAGAGTTGGTTCAGCACAGCAGGTTGCAGGGCATGGGGGGTGCCCCACCCAAGCCTTTAACAAATTATGCTAAAAAGCTATTTTTAAAGCTTCTCTTTTCTCTGCCCTTTCTCTGGCTGCTGCATGATTAACAGCCCCAGCCAGTGCCTGGACGCGCAGGCCCCAGGACCAGTGGCTGTGGCTCAGTGCCATGGGCACAACTACCCACCTTTCCACAGTCCATCAAACCCACCGGCCAAAGGCTGCCCAGCAGCCAGAGAACCCGCCACGCAGGGTCCTTCCTACGCTGGAGAGCTAGGCCCTGCCAGTCACTCCAGCTTTGGTTTGGTGCAGCCTGGGCGGGGTGGTGCTGTGCTGTGCAGCCAGGAGCCAGCCTGCTTCTGCCTCTCCCTGAACTGGCCTGTCACTAGTGCTGTTTGCCAGGCTCGAGCGCACAGACTGGTGGAGCAAAGGAATGGGATATGTGCAGCCTTCCCCGCTCACCAGGGCACAGTCCAGCTGCTCTTAGGAGCTGTGGGCCAGGCCTGGACTCTCCACCAATGTGGCCCTGAGTCGCTTCTGGCTGAGCAGTCTGAATTAGGGCTGAGTGGGTCTCTGCAAATAGGCACTTGATGCAAATAAGCTGTGTCTACATTGTGCTGGCCCCATGGCCCAGCAGCTTTGCTGATGGGCACAGGACTCACAAAGCGTGTGCTATGAGCATTCAAGAAAAGCAAATGTGCAATTCCTTTGGAGAGCAAACCCCCAGCTGTCTGTGAACTGCTGGCCAGTGGTCCCTGGAAGCTGGGCACTTGGGCCGCTGCTCAGCTGATTAGCAGAGCTGGCAGCAGATGTTTCTACTGGGGTGCACGTTGCACATGCCTCAGTGCGTACAACAAAACTTATTCTGCTCATGGAGAGGGAACAGTGCTGGTGGCTAGTGACAGCAGCTCAAGAGAAAGCCCATGAGCAGAGCCCAGCTGAGCTGTGCTCAACAGGAACGGTTTAAAATCTGTCAAAGCCTGGCTGAGACTCCGGCCTCCCCTAGTGGGCCCTTTAGGCCACCACCAAGGCCCATGCTGGGAGGCCCCAGGGTCCATGGAGCTGCACAGCGTGTGTACTCACAACCTCTGGCAGCACCCTACAGGACACTGGAGAGACTCATCTAAGCAGTTACCCCACCTTGCAGAGCCCAGCACAACTGAGGGCAACCAGCAGTTCCTCATGAAAGCCCCCCTGGCCAGAGCTAGCAGCAGAATTCCCACCACGCTCCCCCTCGGCAGGCTGGCTGCGGGATGCCACACGGCTGCGGGCAGCAGCAGAGACGAGGGTGAGAGCCCACGGCTGTGTAGTAAAGTACACGGGTTTATTTAGTTGATAGGGTTCTTTACAGAATGCAGAAAACAGCTTTAAAATAATCATACAAGGAATAAACACACAGCAGTGGTTGGTGAACACTTTAATACACGAGTCTCTCGCACCAGGACAGTGACTAGTGCCAGAAACAAACAGCACAGGTGCGAAGGGGAAGGCGGCCGCCGAGAATGCCGTTATTGTTATTCTGTTCACTGCCCCTTCGCCACCAGTTTCTATGGTGACGGGCAGGCCCAGGCGTGACACGTGCACGCCTGCGCAGGGCCAGGATGGAGTGGCTGCTGTTGCTAGGGCCAACGGCGTGCTTTGGGAGGCCGTTCCAACTTGCGTATGAGGGGAGAATTTCAGGGCTGCTGAAGAGGCAGCCAAATGCACCCCTGCCAGCTCTGCGGCCCGCTCCCAGCCAGGACGCGTTGGCCAGTGCCTCTCCCAGGCCTGCTCTCCTGCAGGGACTGGGGGGAGGAGTCCTGGTTGGTGTGTGGGGTAAAGCTAGCACCTGTATAACCCGCCCAAGGTGCCCTCCCCTCCTGCAGACTGCCAGGCTACGGCCCTCACCAGAGCAGATGCAGCATTTGCTTTGGACAGGCAAACTCCTCTGAAGTTGTGAACAGGGGATGGGAAATGCCACCCTAGCAATTAAGTTATTTTCTCCAGTCACCCACTGGTGTATAACTGGGCCTGTCAGCCCACAAACATACTTTGCAAAACAGTCAATATGGCTTAAAGTGTCTGCTTGGTGTGCAAAGTCAGCCAGAACCTGCCGAGCCAGCCCCGGCCAGGGCAGGGCCACATTATTGCAAAGGGTTTTTCCTCCCTCTAAATGTACCAAAAGTAGTTCTCAAACGGTCAAGAAAAATCCATGCTTCCAATGATTTAGTCCAAAGGAAAAAAAGCACAGGAGCAGCCGACAGGGCAGCCCCAACCTCACAGGAGAAATGATGGAAGTTCGTTTTAAAAAGGCAAGAAACCTAGACATGGCTCTACTATTTAACAATGATTAAGAAACAAAACTCAAAGTGAGCAAAGCAATCAGTCCCATGGAACTGACCCCAAGAAGCTAAGCTCGTACAAACTGCTGTCAGCGTTACCATTTTTCATTATTTTTTAATAAAACAATTTGAGGCTGTATCAAAAATTTAGTATAAAATTAGATTTGAGTTTTACTCTGAGCCATTTCTGGTGCTTTGGCTGTCCCAGCACCAGCCAGCTCCGCCAGTGCCTGTGCACACGAGCGTGAGGGGCGCAGCACAGGCGGGTTGGACAGCAAGGGGGATGGAGGAGGAGCTGTACCAATACTATGCTCAGGGGCAGAGAGGAGATAGCATCACATTCCATACAAATATTGCATCTTCATCAAAACCCCTCCATGTGTGCCAAACCCCAGCCCTCAACCCTTCCCTCGAGCAGCGGTGCAGTATAAAATCTTCTCCCATTCCTGGCAGTGCCCCCCACGGGGGAAATGCTGCCCTTCTGAGCCCCACTCTGTCACCCTGTGGCTGTCTTCCAGGCTGCTCCGAGGCACCTCCGCATTCTCTTCTCCATGGGCAGGGTGCTCTCAGCAGGCCAGAATTGGGCCTTGCAGCGGCAAAGGCCACCCACACCCAGGCTGACTAAGCTGATGACTATTTTACAATATGTGAAAAAATAGGATTCCTCTGATAAAAACGCTGGCTAGGTCCATCCTCTGACTGGGTTTGAAACACCTCTGGAGCTGATTTTGAGCACAGGACTCCCCTCCCCGTCCCATAAACTACACAGACAACTGTAGGTAAACAGCAGGTTAAATGTGAAAACTCAGGCTTGACTTCAGCCAGCCCCTGACTGTCATTCGCTGGAGGCCACCTTTCATGTTACATCCTGTTGCTAGACACACGTGAATAGAAAAACAGTACAGTTAGTGTTAAAGGCAAACAGCAGAGCCAGTGCCACCCCCAGCGCCCCTGCACGGCCAGCCTCCCGCCTTTGCTCCGGGGCGCGGATGCGTCGAGAAGCTGCCGTCAGATACTTTTGAGCCAAGAAGAACTTTCTATGAATAAAATAAAAGCTGTTAGGCAAAAATAAAATCAGTGTCCCACAGTCTCCCCAGCACTCTGGCGAGCGAACGTTTCCGGAGAGGGCCTGGCTGCGGTTGGGATTCTGAGTGGTGGTTTCTGGTTGGCAATGGATTTGCAGGCCATCAGTCCCTACAGACAACCTTGGCACGGGACTACAGGCCCCTCCTCCGCAAAGACTCTTCTGTTCGTTAAGGGGGGACGTATGGCGGTGGAGACCGGTAAGGGGTCATGTTCTTCGGGCGGGAGCCTTTACCCTCCATGGGAGCGGTGAAAGGCGGGGGCGGCTGGTACGGAGGCGCATTGGGGTCTTCATCCCGCAATGGAGTGTATTCCCCGATGGTGTCCTGGTTCAAGGGGGTGGTCTCAGGCATGTTCTGGTTTGGATATTCTGGAGGGGGGAGAGGGGCCTTCTCCTCCTGAAGGATGAGGGGCATGCTGGAGGAAGGGGGAGGCTTGGAGTCATCCAGCTCATCGGCGAAGATGATCGGCACCCCCTTCTTGATGAAGGTGGCCTGATCTTCAATGGTGAGTTTGCCTTTTCTCTTTTTGCGATAGCAGATCATGGCAATGATGCCAGCGATCAGCAGGATAGCGGCCACCACCACAGCAGGGATTACAGTGTGTAGGTACACATCATCCTCGCTGCTCTTCTCAGGGTCTTTCCCAGCCAGCAGCGTTGGGGTGGCTTCAGAGAGAATCCTACCGTCTTTAGGCACTGGAATAAAGTGGATGTGCCTGCAGCTGCCGGAGCCAACTACGGAGATGTTCATGGGCTTGAACTCCGGCTCCAAGGCTTTGGAGAAGGCTGGGGTAGGAATGCCAGAGTCATTGGCGATTCTTTTGCTCAAGGCTCTTATCTGTTCTTTGGGGCACGGGTCCAGAGGCAGCGTGTTGTTTGTCCACTCCACTACAATGGAGCCCTTGGTGATGTTTTGTAAGGTAATGGTGCTGCTGTTCCGGTCACCAAATGCAAAAGCCAGCTTCTTTACCAACTGAATCTTTTTATTGATGTCACTGGCCACGGCATTGTGGTCTCCATGGAATCTGGCTTTGAACGTAACTGGTGACTTGTCCCCATGTGGCCGTTTGTGAACATGTATTTCAAAAGCATCCACTGCAGAGAGGCCACCTTTGTCTGTGGCGTACATGAAATACTCATGCTTTCCTAGATGGCTGTGATCGGGCATTCCAAACATTAACTGACTAGTGCTATTGAATTGGACCCAGGAGTTTTCTTCCACTGGTTTCTGCTCTTTCAGCTTTAGAGTCAGCTGTAGTTTATCTGTGGTGGTGTCTTCTTTGTCATAGAATGTATCCGAGGGTATTTTAACCTCAAAGTAAGTGCCTTCCCATGCATCCACTCTGTCAATGTGGTTGGTCAGCCGTGGTGGCTCATTTGGCTCCCAGCCATGGGAAGGTCCGCTAGCAGTAGTGCGTGTGCGGGATGGTGGAGAGGAAGTTTCTAACTTAGTGATGGGTGATCTGGTTGTGCCAGGGGGCTTGGTTGGGCGAGGAGTTTTGGGTCTTCTTGTAGGCCTTCGAGTGGTAGCTGTAGAGGAATCTGTTGTTGATGGTGTGGCTGGTTTCAGCGTGGTGACTCTTGGTTTCTTAGTAGTGGTTGTGGGTGGAGTAACCACAGCAGTAGGCTCCAAATATCCGGTCATGGTTGGGCGAATCTGTCCAGGGAGAATACTAGTGGCTTCTACTACTCTGGTTGGCTGAATTGGTCCTAGAGTTGGTGTCTGGACAATGGCTCCTCTTGTTCTAATGGTAACTGTAGGTTTCCTAGGCAATGGTATAGGCTCTCTTACTGGAGGAGCTGTTGTTTCCGTGGGAGGTGCAATGGCTGGGGACGTGGGAGTGGGAACAATTCTGGTTGGTGGTTCCTGGATAGCAGTTGTAGGTGGCCCAATGGCAGTGACAGGTGTAGGAGTGGCATTGATCTGCCGCCTTATCCTCTTCGGAAGATGAGGTTTTTTGTTAGCAATGTGCCAGCCAACAACAGGGTAGCCAAGGTGGGCAGACATGGTACCTTCCTTAGCAGGAGCTTCAACATTGCTGATGTTGGGAACACTATTTTGGCTCAAAGAACATCCCAATTTCCATGAGAGTAAGGCCCCATTTTCAACCACCTTTTTTGCATTTCCTGGCCCAGCCATGAAGGCTGACATGTCAAAAAGTCTATTATTCACAACAGGAACCAACTTCATGCTATGAAGTTCAACCTCTGAAAAGCGTCTCATTCGCGTTACAAGTTCAACCCTCTGCTTTGGTGTCATTTTTGTTAAGTCAGCATCCAAAATGACCGTCAGGATTGTGACGGGCTCTTCTGTGCCACACATAAACGGTGCTGCCTCACTTGGGTCCTGGGAAGCCACTCGTACTGACTGAGGCTCATTGTGATCTTCAGGGTGAACCTCAATGGAAAAGACATTGGTAGTTTGGGGCACATAACTGCCATTGGGCTCCAGCTGCCCTGCCTGTACGGAGATGTAATGCACCCCCTTGTCAGTATCCAGGGGCAGGCCTTCCAAAGTGCTACTCTTGGGCTCCCAATGCAGCCACGAAGGCAAGGAGTCTTTACCCACCTCCGATATCTGCGGGAGAGAAGGAGAGGCATGGTGAGACACTGCTGCCTTTTAGAAATTAGTAGAGACCAGTTTGATCACAATTAATGTTCATGTTACAGGCTTTCAACAACTGACTTGCAAGCACAACAGGTGGAGAAGGTAAATTCTAACTGGAATATAGCAGACTTTCCTTGGTAGAGCATCATACGACTGATTTGTATTCCCTGCATCTGCCCCCAAACACTGTAGTGGCCTGAAGAGAAGAGCAAGCCAAGGGGGTATTTACAATGACTTCTTCAAAGGGCTCGTCCACATGATGGAAGCTCCCACGCACAAGGAGGCCTCCCTCCAGTGGGAGAAGTACATTGGGCACTGCCAAGGCATGAATGCAATTTCAGGGTGTGGCTACACAGCAACACAATTCCTACAACTGGCAGGTGCCAGTCAACTCAGGCTCCAGGGGCTTGGGCTGTTCCACTGCCGGGTGGACTTATGGGCTCGGGCAGGAGCCTGATCTCTGGGACCCTTCCATCTTGCAGAGCCCCAGAGCCTAAAAGCCTGCCCAGCAATGACACACCCTACAGGTGTCAGCATTCCCTAAGTCACAGGAACGACCCCAGCACTACTGGAGCTGCAGATACCTTAGAGCCACGAATTAGTCACTGTCACAGGAACGACTCCGAAGCTGAAGCATTTTCTAACCCCAGCACTACTGGAGCTGTAGATACCTTAGAGCCACGAATTAGTCACCAGAGTCTAAGGCTGTGTCTACTCGGCAAAGCTTTTAGTGCAGGGGTGGGGAACCTTCTTTGGCTTGGGGGCCGCTGACCCATAGAAAAATCAATCAGGGGCCACACACAAGTAAGAAGCAGCAGAAAAGCCCACCCCTCACTGAGGTGGCTCCCGACTGAGAAGGAGAAAGGTGGTGAAAGATATTCCCTACATTCTCTTTGCACACCAGAACCTTGGGGGGGAGAGGGGAACTCCTGTCTAGGGATGTTAAATTTCAATCAATCATTCAGCTAATCAAGTAGTTGATGGAATTTCTACTGACTACTCAATCATGCCGCTGCACCTCTCCCTTTGACATGTACTGATGCTGCCCGTGGCTCTTGTGTATTTCAAAGGGAGAGGCAGCAGGAACATGTGCCAGCGGGGAGCAATCAGTCCCTGCTGCGAGGATTCCGCAGGTGGCTCTTGTACATTTCAGAGAGAGGAGCAGCAGTCCAACCCACATGAGTGGGACTGTTTCAATCCCTGCTCGCACTGTTTCTCCACTACCCCCTGCCTCCCCTGCGGGTGGAAACAGTTTTTAAACTGGCTCACCCCAGCCTCTTGTACATTTCAGAGAGAGGAGCAGCAGTCCAACCCACATGAGTGGGACTGTTTCAATCCCTGCTCGCACTGTTTCTCCACTACCCCCTGCCTCCCCTGCGGGTGGAAACAGTTTTTAAACTGGCTCCCCCCAGCACTGGCTTGTGCTCTCCACACCCTGGATGCCTCTGATAAAGGCAGCAAGTGGGGCGGGGGGGAAGCAACTAGTCAAGTTCCTACTTGACTATCCAATAAGCATTTGCTTATTGGGTAGTCGATTAATTGCTTATGTGAGCTAACAGGGAGTTTGGAGAGGGAGTTCTCCAGGTAAAAGAGGAGTAAATATGGGACCCTTGTGGTAAGTGGCTGTCTGGAGTGTGTGTTTGTGTGTGTGGGGGGCGTTATTTGCTGTGTGCTGAGCTTGTGTTTGGTTGGTTTGTTTGTTTGAAGGAGCTTCTAAAAGGTTTGCAATCTAGAAGCCTCTGTTAATTGGCTGAGCCTCAGTCCGGGGGAGGGGCTAACAGAGCTCTATAAGCCT